ATGTTTACCACCTCTCCCCCTTTTCCATCCTGATGTTATGTAGTATCTGCTGTGTGCTAGGCACTCTGTTAGGCACTAAGGACTCAAGAAGAAATAAGATGAGGTCCTTGTCCTCAAGGGACGTACCGCTGGGGTAGTAGAAGCTGTAGGGTGTGGGGAGACAATCATAGAAACATGTGTAAATAAAGGGTCACAGGTCTGGATATTAAAGTTCTTAAAGGGTGCATATATATATATAGTTGGATATAAAGTTGGATATAGTTGGATATAGTCTGGATTTAAAGTTCTTAAAGGGGCCGTAAAGCAGAGGGAATGGTCAATTCTGCTTTGAAGAGTAAGAATGGCTGTACTGTGTTTACCAAGAGGATTGTACACTGTTAAAAGAATAAACAGTAGTCTGTTTTGAGTATTAATATACAGTTTTCTCATATATACATGATAATATTAAGTAGGCCAACGTGTTTTCCAACGCCTGTTTGAATCAACTCAAACTTCCTATTAAACTTCACATTCAAAAGGCACATGTGGGTCTCTTCTTTATGCAAGTATTAATGAATAGTCTGTGAAGCCCTTTATAGAGAAAGTAAGTAGGTAGCAGTTTTATCTTGCAGTGAAGGCAGCCTGCATTTCTGTACATTAATCACCTAGGCTCTGTGCGGGGCTGTTTCTCTCTTTTCCATGTCCCGCATGGAAAAGAAAGCAGTCCATTTGCTGAGTGGAGGAGCTGGGGATTAAGAAATTAAAGAAAGACCAAGACGCAGAAATAGATTTTAAGCTGGGGCCAGGTGGGCGCCATCCTCTCTGATGGAGAGGCGGCAAAAAGTGGGCTGAGCCACACAGCAGATTTATTTTAAAGGCCTAGATTTACATATCTAGTTCCGCCCCTGCCTGATTAACATGTCCAGCCTTATTGGGGAAGCATGTTCCCAGGGCATGGCTCTGCCTATGCTCTGAGTTCAGCTGACAATAATTATAAGAAAATGCCTAGGTGCCTCCCAGGCGGCCCTCTACAAGGCTCCTTCCAGAGATGCTTTTTCACCCACTGATGATTTTTCAGGCCCAAGTGGCTGCTCTGGATCACATGCTCCACAGGAGAAGAGCAGGAGCCGCCAAGAAGGGCTGATGCAGGCACTCAGGGCCGTGCTGGGCCCACGTGAAACAAGGTTTACAGTGGTGGGATTTGGAGAAAATGTGGGTGAGGCTGTTTGGAACCAGGGATCAGAGAACAGCCATTGCTGGGCTTTTCCTTAGAGAATCCCAGAATCCAACACTGTAACCCGAGTACTGGATCCTTCTCTTTCAAGCAAAGATTATCCTTATCTTTCAGCTAAGATTGAACCCACTTTTAAAAAATACGTTTTCATTAATTTTAGAGAGAGAAGATGGGAGAGGTAGCGAGAGAAAGAAACATAGATGAGAGAGAGAAACATTGATGAGTTGCCTCCTGTACCCATCACTATCGGGAACCGAACCTGCAACCTGGGCAGATGCCCCGACCAGGAACCCAACCTGTGACCTTTTGGTGCATGGGAGGATGCTCAACCAACTGAGCCACATCAGCCAGGACATAAACCCATTTTGATCCATTTAAAAAGCTCATGAAAACAACAAGAAGACTGGGAAATAAAGGGAATTTTTTGAGGTTTATACAGAGGACCGCAGAGGGCTAGTGTCTGTCTGTCTTCTGACTCTTAGAAAAAGCTTACCTAATGAGTCAGGAAGACAATCCAATCTTTAACTAACTATTATTCTCTCCTCTGGTTTATGAAGAGCCTGGAAATAACCACTGAGCATACAGGCTTTTATTCCTTAACCTTCCGGGTCAGTGTGTCTGGAGCATGGTGCATGGGGTTAGGGAGTGAAACGTGTGAATCTACTTTATTATTGGTCAAGGGGGGCCTTCAGGCCTCTGGTCAGTTGAGAGGAGAGAGAGCTCCAAGTAGCTGCTGCTGCTTCTTTGTATATATATATATATATATTTTTTTTATTGATTTTACAGAGGAAGGAGAAGGGAGAGATTAAAACATCAATGATGAGAATCATTGATTGGCTGCCTCCTGCACGCCCCCTACTGGGGACCGAGCCTGCAACCCAGGCATGTGCCCTTGACTGGAATCGAACCCAGGATGCTTTAGTCCCCAGGCTGACACTCTATCCATTAGCCAAACTGTCCAGGGCTCCAAGTAGCTTCTTTAGAGGAAAGTAAAGAGGATGGAATCTCTACATCCACCTTGCAGTTTCTAAGGACAGTCTGACACAGTACGAGGTTGGCGTGAACTCTACTTGTACTGGAGGTACTCAATGAGAGATGGCAGAAAAGCAGCCCTCGCCCCCTTCAGGAAAACGCTTTGTAGGCATACAGGAAGAGGAAGAGCAAAGGGCAGGGGGGAAAGAGAACAAAAAGCTCATCTTTTGAAATCAGCAAAAGGTATATCCCCGGGAGTGATTTACGTGTGTACAGAGGAGGAACATTAAAAGAATAATTGTTGGCTGTTTATTTTAAAGTATGGGCAGTGAGAATGGAGGCAGGGAGCTTTATTTTCTATTTTACCTTGCTCCAGCTTCCATTAGTGTTAATGGGGTCATATATTCTAGACTTTCCTTGGCCTGCTGCCCTGACATAACTGTTTGAATTCCTCGTTTTAGTATTATGTAGTCTTAACAACAGAGGGAAAGAGAAACAGAATGTTGTGTGCTAAATGATTCTATGTGCCTTATTGTGGATGGAATTTATTCTCGTGGGTCCACGGCTATTAAGATGATCTGTTCAGATGATCTGTGTTTCTGATAGCTACTTCTAGATAGCTTTATAATTTGCCCAAGGGGTTTGTTCAGGGGATGGCTACATGTATTTTTTATTTGCTAAAACAAGGTAAGTCTTAATCCTGGTTATCTGAGCTCCAGGCTGGTACAGAGACTGTTCTCATCCAAAGGGCCAATCGAGCTGCATGTTCCCCTTGTTTCGGGCAGTCGATTGTGGAGGTATTTTACTAGGCGGTCATTTGATACGCATCGGCCCTTTTGGTGGAAGACTTAGTTCTTAGGATTACTTCTGCGGAATCCATTTATTCAATTAAACAAATATCAATTGAGTTCCTGCTTTGCCTCCAGTATTTCTTCAGACGGGAGAATACTCTGTACAAGAAGCCGGAATTGGACTGTTCAAGGAAACCCAGCAGAATTAGAATGCTAAAATTCCCGGTTTGAAAGAAACTTAGAGATAATCTACGCGTCTGAGAATAAGTGTATTTATTTTAGGGGACCACAAACAGTTTCTGATGTATATAATTCTTTGTTTGCTTTTATAACCATTTGAAAATGCGACCCACCTTGGCAGGGTGGCTCTGTTGGTTGCAGCATTGTCCCATACACCAAAAGGTTGCAGGTTCAATTCCCTGTCAGGGCATATACTTACATATACTTATGTTTCGGGTTCTATCCTTGGTGGGGCATGTACGGGAGGCAACTGATTGATTGATGTTTCTTCTCTCTCTCTCTCTATCTCAAATCAATAAACATATCCTCTGGTAAGGATTTTAAAAAAGAGTGAAAACTATTCTAAACTGGGGGGAGGGGGCACATAGGCTGGATTTGATCCATGAGCCATAGTTTTATACTTTGCCAGTCCCTGATCTAAATTCTCCTCCAGGTTTTTTTTTTTTTTTTTTTTTTTTTTTTTTTTTAAATCAAAGGGGAAACTGAGAGCCAGAGGGTGAAATGATTACTCCCCTCATTGTCCACCCGCCCCCCGCCCCCATAGTCACACAGCTAGTTCTTGATATTGTTGGATTGGTGACCCTTAAGTAAGGATCCCCAAAGTGCCTAGTCATTTTGCAAACGGCTAGTTTTGGTACTGAGGGAAGTATGAATTTTAGTTAATTTTTAACTTATTGAATGCCTACCACATTCTTCTAGGGCGGCACTGTGCCTCGGATTAGGATGCAAACTTAGCATGACAAAGTCCCAGGCATCAGTCAGCTTAGTAACTGGCGCAGATAAGATGGCAGTGTGGAAAGTGCATATGGAGACAAGTGGTGGGTGCCGGGAGGCACAGGAAGTCACTCCGCCCTCAGTATGTAGATGCTTCTGTGGGTGAATGAATGAGTTCATTCATTCATTGCACCTCCCCCAATTGTGTTTTGGATGCACTGCCCAGCCTAAAGGAAGGGGACAGGGTCTGGCTTCCTCCCCACTTGCTTGTTTTTCTCTTTGGGGACTCATACCTTGTATACATCCTATGTATGCAGGGGTGGGTTATGAGATTAAAAGAACAAAAGTGAAAGAAGATTCAGACCGACACCAGAGAAAGATGGTTTATTTGGCAGTTGCTTTGACATACCAGTTTATCTAAGCAGTGGCACTGAGACACATCTGAAATCATGTAATATCAACCATGGAGCCTTTTACTATTCTAGAGTTATAAGGACCTTAGAGATCACGTAACTATATACCCTTTCATTTTACATATAAAGAGCTTGAGGCTCAGAGATGTTAAATTTCTGGGTCACACAATTAATTCATAGAATGAATCTCAGGGTTGCAAAAGACTTTAAAAGATATCTAGTATATCCACCCAGATAATAATAAGGAATAATAATTATAGCTAATATTTATTGAAAGTTTATTGACATGTGTAGTAGTATGTATTATCTCATTTAATTCTGCCAATAACCCAATGTAATGGGTACAATTACCATCCTTATTTTAAAACTGAGGAAACTAAGCTTGAATAGATAAAGTAAAATTTGCCCAATCGATGTTTGCACAATGAGTGAATCAATGAGTCAGGCAGTTGACACTTTTAGGGACAAGTGAATTGGAACTCAGTGGTGAGCTAGAGCCATGCCCAGGTCTTCTGATGACTTATCCCGTCACCAGTTGTATGTGCTAATATGCAGATGTGGGCCAGGAAAGTGTATTGTTCTGCAGCTGTCTTTATGGTGTCACTGAACAGTTTTGAGAATTAATGTGCACAGTAGAATTCTCTTTGAACATCAAAGGTTCCTTGAAGGTGTGACAGCCTGGTTGGTTTCTCTGAATCTGCTGAAGTTTGTAGAGGCATCTGGAAGATTCTCTCTGCATGAGGTACCTTCTTCTTCTTCTTCTTCTTCTTTTTTTTTCCCACAAACATGTAATTTAAAGTTGTAGTTTCAAACTATAGTCTGAGGCATCCTGGGGTTTGTGGGCTAGAGAACTGAGGGAATCTGTAAGAAAGCGTGGGCATGGACTTGGCTTTGAGCCAAATAATGCCCAAAACAAATATCTTCGCTGCATTAATTCTTTTAGCTCTGACAGATGAGAACAACCAACTCATTAGATGTACAGTAGCTTCTGATGTGTTCTTTCCTTATAAGTTGAATGTTTTTCTCACTGAACAGTGGTAATATTTGGGCTTGTTTGATTGGAAGTTTTTGAAGTCAAAGACATTTTAACACATTTGTAGAGCTTGTTCTAAAAAAACCCCAAAAACCCACCAAAACCTCTCTCTCTAGATTACTGCTTTTTATATAAAGAACAGCATGGGCATTGTTTGCCATTCATTGTAAGCAGAGTATCTCTATATGGCATAGAAAAACTGAGGTTCTTGGATTTCAGCTCAGAAAGCTTATATCCTTTGAACCTAGGCCCCTGGGTTGATTCATAACGTCAATACATAGCATTAATAATTGCTGCATATCACTTGGAGGAAAATCCACATTAAATAAAGGAGGCTTTCATTAGGTTGTGGAAAAAACAGATTCAGGCTCTATTGGTAAAGATAAACCACCATTTATTTGTTTGAGGGCCTTTCAGGGGGAAGAGATGTAATACAAGATACTCTTCTCATTTGTAGGCGTATGAGAAATCCCTTAAAATAGAAACACATGAATATTTGTTTTCTAACACAAAATATTTCAGAGACCTCCCAATTTGTCTTGCCAATGCTTTTTTCTTTTCAAGTTTCAGCCAACCACCACAAATGTTTTTTAATTATACCAGGGAGAAATCCCCAGTGATGCCTTGCTATTAATACCTACTTTAAAATTTTAATTTATTTATTTTTTAATCCTCACCTGAGGATATTTTTTTAAATTGATATTTAGGGAGAGAGAGAGAGAGAGAGAGGGAGAGAGAGAGAGAGAGAGAGAGAGAGAGAGAGAGAGAAAGAAACATTGATGTAGGATAGAAACATCGATCCATTGCCTCCTGTACAAGCCTCTATAGGGATCAAACCCAAAACCTAGGTGTGTTCCCTGACCAGGAATGGAACCCAAAACCTTTTGGTGTATGAAATGATGCTCCAGCCAACTGAGCCACCCAGCCAGGGCAATACCTACTTTTAAACATGTCTTATGTATTAATAAATCTTTCTTTTAACTCTACCAGGGTTTGCCCCTGATTTACTCCACCTCCCTCTTCAGCAGTAGTAGCCGCTTTCAGTAAGAAAGGGGTAGGAGGTGGAGGACAGCACAAAAGGAGGAGAACGATTTGTTCATTATGTGCTGGCTGCTGTGTTACCAAATAAGCATTCAGAGTCACCATGTTCTGGAGATAGGTACACATGTAGATTTCTAACTTTTCATTTTCAAAAATTTCAAATGAATAGATTAGTACAAAGAACACTCAAAAATTCTTAAATTTACTAATTCTTAACATTTTGTCACATGTGCTTTATTTTTATATATGCAGATTTATGTTTTTTTTGGGGGGGGGCAGACGTCATGATACTTGATCTCTAAATATGTCAGTATTTATCTCCTGAGTATAAGGACATGTTTTTACATCACCACAACAGCTTTATCATGCCTGAGAAATTAAACATTGATTCCATAATACAGTCTATATTTAAATCTCATCTTTAATCAGTTAACATTTGCTGTATAACAAATCCACCATTTATTTGTTTTTCCAAAAAAAATTTTAATTGATTTCAGAGAGGAAAGTAGAGGGAGTTAGAAACATCAACGACGAGAGAGAGTCATTGATCAGCTGCCTCCTGCATGTCCCCTGCTGGGGATTGAGCCCCAAACCCAGGCATGTGCCCTGACTGGGAATCAAACTGTGACCTCCTGGTTCATAGGTTGATGCTCAGCCACTGAGCCACGCCAGCGAGGCGAAACCACCATTTATTAATTCTCATGATTCTGTGAGTCATATGGGTAGTTCTAATTTGCATCAGGACCAGCTGATCTTGGCTGGGTCCCCTCAAAGTCTGCAGTCAACTGCTGGATCTATCAGAGGCTGGCTGGTCTAAGTTGATCTTAGTTTGGATGGCTTATCTCTGCTCCAAAGGGTCTTCCATCCTCTAGCACAGTGGTTCTCAACCTTCCTAATGCCGCGACCCTTTAATACAGTTCCTCATGTTGTGGTGACCCCCAATTTCATTGTTACAAATTGAACATAATTAAAGCATAGTGATCAATCACAAAAGCAATATGTAATTATATATGTGCTTTCCAATGGTCTTAGGCGACCCCTGTGAAGTCTAGCAGAATAGCCTAGGCTTGGTCCCATGGCGAATAGCCAGATTCTAAGAGAGAGTGGAAGTGTGCAAAGCCTTTTGAGGCCTAGGCTTGGAGCTTGCACAGTATAACTTCTATTGCAGTCTTTTGGTCAAAACCAGTCAGAAGCTCCTCTTAATGAGAGGAGCTGAAAGTCATATTGCTCAGGGGCCTGGATACACGGGCATGAACAATTGCAGCATTTTTGCAAACCCCCATTGTTCAAAGAATATTAATGATGTTAGTTTAATAATGTTAACAGTGTAGTTGTTGGTTTGTTTTTAATCTAAGGTCTACTCAAAGATTGCACATTAAATTTAGTTGCTATGCATCTTTAATCTCTTTTTTATAGTCTCTTTTATTTTTTATTTTTTTTTAAATATATTTTATTGATTTTTTACAGAGAGGAAGGGAGAGAGATAGAGAGTTAGAAACATCGATGGGAGAGAAACATCGATCAGCCGCCTCCTGCACATCTCCCGCTGGGGATGTGCCCGCAACCCAGGTACATGCCCTTGACCGGAATCGAACCTGGGACCCCCCAGTCCGCAGGCCGACGCTCTATCCACTGAGCCAAACCGGTTCCGGCTATCGTCTCTTTTAATTCATAGATTTCCCTCTTTTTTGTATTTTATGACATTAATATTTTTAAGATTAAGATCCCAGGCCTGTTTTCTTAAAATATCTCACAACCTGAATTTGTCTAGTTATTTCTCCATGGTTATATGTAGGTTAAACATTTTTGGCAGGAATTCTAAATAGCTTCACAAGGAGAGGCATATATGTTAGTTTATTCCATTATTGGTGATGCTCATTTGGCTAAAGTGGGGTCTGCCAGGTTTCACAATCATAAAGGTGTCTCCTCCTGGAGATAGATTTGTATTAAGTCTGGGCATTAAGTGCTAAAGTTCTCCCAATCACATCCAACATATATTGTTTAGATACCTACTGTATATGTACTCTTGAATTTATTACTATGGAAGATCTAAAAGAATGGTAAGGAATGTTGCCTGTCTAAAGAATATATAATTTTCTTGAGGTTGAGTTACTTTTTAAAAAACTGTATGAAGAGTACAGGAGTGATGATTCTAAGTTAATAAAACTGTTTATTGAAATAGAATGAACATACAGAGAAGTGCACACGTAAGCATATAGCTTGATGAAGTTTTCAAACTGAACACACCAGTGCACTAGCACCCAGATTAAGAAACAGAATGTAAGCACATCTCAATAAGCCTGATTTTTAACTGTATGAAATGTAGGTCCAAATGATGGCTGTTCTTTTCGATAGCAATTTATGAGTGGCCCAAGAAAATCAATATCCTTTTAAGTTCAAATAGCATTATCTATCAGTCACTCTTTGTATATATCAAGCTTGAATCAGAGTAACTTTCACTATGCACATACATTAGTCTCTCCTTCTTCATTCTTGTCACAGTGCAGAAGGTGACCTCTCTTTTCCCAAGGGTAGCCTTTCCCTGTGTAGTCTGTCCTGCCCTTCACTTCCTTAGGTCTGCTCCTCCTAGTTCTTTCTTGTATCTTCATCTGTGTTCTGTCTTCAGCTTCTCTTCTTTTGGCTCCTATTCCTCACCTTCTATACTTACCAGCATCCTTCTGCTTTTCCCTCTCCTTTAAAATTTTTTTTAATTTTTTTTTATTGATTTTAGAGAGGAAGGGAGAGGGAGAGAGATAGAAACATCAATGATGAGAATCATTAATCGGCTGCCTCCTGCATGCCCCCTACTGGGGATCGAGCCTGCAACCCAGGCATGTGTCCTTGACCGGAATCGAACCTGGGACCCTTCAGTCCGCAGACCAACGCTCTATCTACTGAGCGAAACTGGCTAGGCCTTTTCTCTCCTTTTTATCACCAAACTTTTAAAAAGACCATGTTCCCTTCCTCTTTAGTCCATTCATCCAAATGCCCTTGAAACTTGGTATCCTTTCCCACAATTCTAAGGAAGTCCATCAGTAACTCCTGGTTATTAAGTCAGGCTTTGTTCTCTTAGATGCTGCCTCCTTTGGACGGCTTCTCATCTTTTCTTTGAGACCACTTCTTCCAGGCTTCCATTTATTGTGCGCTCTGTCTTCTTCCAACTGCCCTGAGTACTCCTCTAACAGTTTGACTTTCCAAAGAAAGAACAACAGTTATTCCTGCTTCTTTTGGTCTGTATGAGAATGACATTTCTTAGGTCCTTCTTTTTAAAAAACATATATTTTTATTGATTTCAGAGAGAAAGGGGGAGAGAGAGATAGAAACATCAATGAGGAGAGAGAATCATTGATCTGCTACCTCCTGCACACCCCCCGCTGGGGATCAAGCCCGCAACCCAGGCATTTGCCCTGACCTGGAATCGAATCATGACCTCTTGGTTCATAGGTCAATGCTCAACCGTTGAGCCACGCCGGCCAGGCAGGACCTTCCTTTATGGACTATGGGTCATTATGTTGGCAATTTATCTGCAGTTTGAAGATTGTGGTTTTATGGCAAACTCTCAATTAAATTGATGTAAAATCTCTGTCTGGTTTGTTGGAATACAGGTTTGTTGGAATGATTTATTCATTCACTTATTCATTTATATGTTCAATAAATATTTACTAAAT